ACGGTACTCTGCGGCAAAAAATATCTTCTTGCTTTGTAGAACTCGAGAAATTTTTGCTTCAAAACCGACCGATCGTAAGCAGCATGATTGTAAGAGAGAAGGAAATGGGTTTATCTGGATTATACAATGTGGTGGAAACCATTGCTAATATTATGAGTAAGAATTAACATATAGATTTTTTTCTGTTATAGCCTGCTTAGAACATTATAACTTCTGCATGCATTATTTATTTATCGCAGCATCCCAAAAGTCATTGTTGCACACCCCAATGTATACACGAACACATACACTTGCTGTACAATATGTTATCAAATTTTTTTCCATATAATATGATAAATCATAAAATATTTCTATGAATTTTATATTACAGATATCAAAGATATAAAAGTAATAAGTCAAAATATATCTTTGGCTAAACTTGGAATGGATTCCATGATGGCTGTAGAAATTAAACAAACTGTAAAACGAGAATTTAATATTTTGTTCACTGCACAAGAAGTATGGAACCTCACATTTGCAAAACTGAATAAAATATCTAATGTAGACGTTAATCAAGATACTATTATAAATTGAATTATTATAAACTGAAGCAACTGATATGAATAAGCTGGATCTTACGAAACTTAGTTATTAAGAAACTGAATCACGAATGCTGATATTATAAACGATAGTTTAAGAATTTTATACTCTTTACTGGGAACGGAATCTGGTGCAATCTTTTGATGTGGAGGAGTGGGCAAATTATTATTATTATTATTTAAAATTTAATCTGTGGTTTAAAAATTATTTAATTATAGAAAAGATATTCCCAAACGTCTGCTACAAATTTTTGTCAACAGATAGACTGCAGATTGTATACAAAACCTGTTACATCAGTTGATGACAGCAGAAATGTTACAAAACCTGCTGATATAATTTGATAGCAGATCAGTAGCAGAAACCGAGCAGAATTTGCTCGGAATTATTACAGCAGATTGGCGGCAGAAACCGAGCAGAATCTGCCGTCACAATTTAAATGAAATAGCGGTGTTACGTCCTAACCTGGAGGGAAAGGGGTAGAGTCAGGTATACGGGCGGACGCAACCATAAAAGTATTTTATGGTGTTTGCTCGCTGGTCGGTATGAGGAGAGGCGATCGCGCGAGCCGAACGATTTTCTTTGGCTGAGAACAGGTCAACAATCGTAATGATCGATATTACGCTGTTAGAGGCCTCAACCAATCGTTCGTGGTTCCCTTTTCTGGTCAAGAGAATTAACTCCTTTTACCAAGGGCGGAACCTCGTGCAAATTTTCAAAAGGAGAGGGGGGGGGTAGAAGAGGAAGGCGAGAGGTCTTATAACTAATTTAATTATGAAGATTTTGACTTACTACTTGGATGTCCTGGAAATATATCTGGATCCTCTTGGGTCGTTCAGTGGTCCGTATTCACGTCGATGAATATTGCTCGGAGGTTGGTTTAATATGTTGGAGAAGCAATTGCCGCGCGCGGTACTTCACTCCTCCGCGACGAGTTTTGGATTTTGGGATAAGAAAGGAATTTTATGTTAGTCCAGAAATTCCAGGCGTAAAGCGTGCGGTGGGCCGCACCACGATACGCGGGGATACAGAAATCGATACCACGTGCGGTGGTCCGCACCGAAAATATCGATACTGAGTGCTGATCTGAAGAAACAATTAGGAATAAGGCAGGGGTAGGTTGAATGTGTGAGAAATGGTTTTAGTCAAAATATTGTTTAACAAACACGTTTACTATAATTATTGATATACAAGCACTTTGAGATACAATCGGTTTTTCTAATATTTTAAGGTATGAACTAAGATTCGATTGAGCTGGATTCAGAGATGTTGAGAGAACTATATTAACTGCTTAACTGCTGCCTTCACGGGTGGGTGTCTTCCCTTTTATACTCGAAATTTTGGGTTTTGGAAGGGAGACATTCCTTCCGAGGGGTTGTTAATAAAAATAAGATAAAAAAGGTTGTTTGAAGATTAATAGATGGATTGCTCGAATGACATGTATATCGTTCCGTCGGCTTTTCTGTCGGCGAAAATTCACTGAGTCGGAGA